ATAACAAAAGATGACGTTTAGAGAACAGGAATATTCAAATATGTAAAATTTGATTTTTTTTAATCTACAAAAATATTCATTTTATGTTACTCAGAATAACATTTTAAATATTCTAACCTACAAAGCTCTCAACAACCTAGGTCCATCTTATACTACAGATCTTATTGTTCCATACTTTCCTAACAGAGCACTTCATTCTCAGACTGCAGGTTTACTTGTGGTTCCTAGAGTTTCCAAAAGCAGAATGGGAGGAAGATCTTTCAGTTATCAGGCTCCTCTCTTGTGGAACCAACTTCCAGTTTCTGTCTGTGAGGCTGACACATTGTACAGTTTTAAGACTAGACAATATTTTCCTTTTGATAAATCCTATAGTTAGGGTTGACCTGGGTTTCCAAAATTATTTTAGTTATGCTGCTATACACATAGACTGCTGGAGGGCACACCGAACACATCGCACTCTGTTGCAGTCCACTCTCTCTGTTGTCCATGTTTGTATTTTACAATTATTCCTGTGATTATCCTGTGTTTTCTGGTCATGCCATAGCAACTACGCCCGGACAAATACCGTGTTTGTCTCTCTTTCCTGTCCGCTCCACTCCCAGCCAGTTGAGGTAAACTGACGTTCATCCTGATTCTAGTTCTGCTGTATGTCTCTTCTTATTAAGAGTAAGGTAGCCAAGACAAATTAACAAGTTAAGCCAGTTTCAATCGATGGTCAGCTTGTTGCAACTGTGGCAAATTTTAAATAACTATGGTCATTCCTGGACAGTCAGATCACCTTTGCTGAAAACAATGAGTATATCTTTAAGAAATGCTCAGAGAGACTATATTTTAAGACTTAATGGTCTTGGGGTTAACCTGTCCAGAGTGTCCCCCGCCCCTCGCACAGTGATTGCTGGACATGAGCACCGGCGACCCCCGTGACCCAAAATGGAAGAAGCGGGTAAAAGATAATGGATGGACGGCTGGATGGCCTTGGGCTTAGTCAGCAAACTCTAAAGCTTGTGTACAAGGCGATTGTTGAGTGTGTTAACGTTTCACCTCCCTGTCTGGTATGGTCATCTGAGCTGTAGACTAAAAAAGGAAAGGAGAAAAACAAAGAAAAAAGAAGGAAGGACAATTTCCACCTTGGTGGACAAAGTTTTATCTTATCTTAAGAGACTTGCCATTTTGTTGATCAGGATGGGGAATTGCACTGGAGGAAGGTTGGACGCAATCTAATGGCTTTCTTAACTCCTTTAAAACCAAAATTAACGTGTAGTTTTTAATCTTTCGCCAAAATAAAACCATAGCTGATACATCTTCTTTAGCTGCATGCTTGCCCTCGGTGCACTGTTTTTAGGAGTGAGAATGCAGACTATGATAAAAGAGGGCTACGTCTTATGAAGGAGAACAATGACCAAGAACCATGACTTTCCCAGGAACAATGAGTAATGTATTTGTGGCTGGACTGTGACAGTTGAGCAGACTTGTAAATTGCCATGTTTGTGGGTCGGCGCACCAATGACTTTAGAAACTTTAATGTGAGACACTTAGGTCAATAACATGTTTTCTGAGCGCAGCACCTATTCAGCAGAAATGAGCATATCCACCTGGACGTCGTGTTTCGAATGTGGAAGCTTGAGCCAATAAATAAAAACCTGACGACTGCAGAGAAAATGGACCCAGGACATAATGCTGATTGGATTGTTTTTCCACAAGAGATAAAAAAGAAAATATATATATATGAAGGTTTGTTTAAAAAATGTTTTAGTATAAATGAGTCTCAAGTAGGAAACGGGTGTCAGTAAAATGCAATGGAGCAATAGTGTAGTGCTGGAAAAGAAAGTATTGAGAGGTGGATTTTGACACTTTGATAATGGCAGGTGGCTCTGCTGTGTTGTCTAAGCGGTCTTGTTTTCAACTGCGTCTCCATTTTCTGACTGAGCAAGAGTCGGGGGTGGACGGGGCTACATCTTGCTGCCGTTTAAGATATGAAAGAAGGTAACTCACAGTGCACTTTGCTCCAAACATGTTCCTTTCAGCAAAACAAAGAAACCGCGAAGCCTTGAGCAGCTTCGTCTCACGAGGACGTATTTCTAACTTGCAGCAGGAGATGTTCTCTGAAACGCTGCAGATTTGAATATTCTACACACCAGATCCCAGTTTGTAAAACGCCTGCCTCCTCTGCAGTGTTAGCCAAGTGTTAACCTCCAAAACAAGACCTAGTTCATCTGACTGCCAACGAGGTTTCTGCAGTCTTCCTCCACCCCTTGCTGTGATATAGCTAATTAATACCCTTCCTTGCTTTCGTCAACACCATTTTTTGGAAGGTATTTCTTCATAAATTTTCATAAGGTGCCATCAGTTGGAAAACAGCTTTCCGATGACATATATACAGCACGCAGCAAAACGACAAACATGGCCGTCTTCCAATGGCACCATCGGGTATTTGGCATGAGAAACCACCTTCACGGATAAATCTTCCCCGGAATGAGACCGTATTACAAACGAGCGACTTTAGACTCAACTGAAAAAGTTTCCCGTTGCAACTCTGTGTCCCCGTTTAAACCGGGAGATTTCTGGGGAGGGGGTTGTTTGTTGAACTTTTAAAGATGGCTTCTCCTTGGGCTTTTTAAATCGGTCTCGATGAGTTTAAATGAAATATATGGCTTGAGAGACCTTTAAAAAATGGTAATTGTCTTGGCAGTTAAGTGCATGTTAGAAATAAAGGAGGTCTTGGCTTATTCATCAGTATGTTACATCACTGCAGTATATTCACAAAATGTACAGTATCTTTGTCTTTATGTCTTTCGGTGTCCATTAAGTTGACGAGAAAAGCCCTGGCTTTATTCTTGTTAAACATTTGCATTTTTGGGCACATTTGCTTGTTGTTTGCACAAAGTTGCATTTTATTATACCTCTTTCCCCTCACATTAAATATTCTGTATTGATACTCAGTATCAGCAAGTACCCAAGCGTAAGTACTTGTGCTTGTACTCTGTCTGGGAAAAAAAAACTAGTATTGGGACACCCGTAGTTTAAATGGTTACGAACGGAATGTATTTGTTTTTACGTTTTCTTAGATTTTACTAATAACTTCCTTAATGGGGCAGTTTTTTTTAAGGTGTTTGGTTTTAGTGTCATTCAAAAGGTGAAGAGGCAGCCATTAAGCATTTAGCAATCTCAACATAAAAAAGTACAATATTTACTAGAAATCTGCAGGACTTCTTAGTCACAATGAGAATCCTTTTAATTTAGTCTTTCCAAGAAAACGTACTTGTGAGGACCAAGCCATTGTTTTAATTCCACACACACCTGTTTGTAGACGGTTCACAGTAAATGTCTGAAATGTATGTATTTTGCATTGTGTTGAGGGCTGAAGGCATATAGTTTGACCACATGCAGGCATGCACACACTAAGTCACTAATGCTAAAACAAAGATTTATTTTAAAGTTAAAGAAAAGTCACAAAAACAAAGATGGCAAGTCTGGGACTCTTAAAGGCGAGTCATAACTCTAACGGCTGATTTAATGATTACAATAATCAAGCAAGTTTTTAAGATGGAAAGATTTTTTTTAATATACAGTATATTCAACTTATTTGCACCACTTTCAGTAAAGGATAAATCTCAGGAAAAAAGTCAACTATAAAATTTTTGCAGTCAGTCTGATTCCAAATAGCTGTGACCGCTAACAAACAGAAGAAAACTAAAATGGCTAAAGCTGACTCTATTTGACTTATATTGAGTTACAGTTTAGAGAACTACAAGCTGAAAGTAATCCCCAATAAACTTCAAGTGCTAATACATCTTTGTTAAAATGTTGGCTATAAAAA